TGTATGTATGTATGTATGTATGTATGTATGTATGTATGTATGTATGTGTGTATATATATGTCTATGTATATGTATGTATGTATACATACATACATACATACATACATACATACATGTATATTAATATACATACATTAAAAACAATTTAAAAAAAACATGGCAGACAGCTGCATTTGGTTTTACTCCACAGAAACTGTTCAGATATGTGGATGTAAGGACGTGATATCTGCTGGGCGTCATCAGGGTGTGTGTCTGAGTACAGCCAGTGTTTTCAGCACGCTTAAGCAATCATGACCTGGCATAAGGGCCATGTACAAAATCAATTATTCATTTGGAAGGTGGGGGAGAGGCAGCCCATCTGCTGAGGGGAGAAGTCCTGACTGATTTATTGACCTGTAGGACGTTCTGCTGCCTCATAATGATCCAACTATATATTGCTCTGCAGCTCAGATCAGTCGATGAGCACAAAGCCACAGTTTTTGCCTTTATTTCAGAAGCGAGTGACGATTTTTTGTGAACAAACTTTTTTTCCCCTCCTAATTCTAATTGGCTCGACCTGTTTCAATGGGAAACCAGAAGCATGGCAATAAAACTTGGTTTATACCATGAAGAATGTTTTTTTCCCAAATAGGAAGCTGTGGATAAAAACACTTTATCAAGAGGATTGCCCTGTTGCAAATTCCTTGAAACCACCTCAGTGTTAGAATTAACTCACATAGGACAATAAGGATCAACATTAATGAGACACTAATGTTGAAACTTGTTTGGTTTGTAAACGCTCACGTCTGTTGTAGTAGCTTAACTGGTTCTGGAGCCATACTGCTCCCTAAAGGCAGAGACCGATATCACACTGCTCAGCAGAATTAGACCTATTTTAGCTCCTGTTTAATGAAATTTAAAGCAAAAACCCATTTACAACCAGTTGAAATTAATCAATTAAGTGCATCAGTGCAGGGAATAAGCACAGAAGAATTTGGTTTTGGGAGGAGTGAAAACTTAAACAACTTTGTTCAAGCAAATTGGGATCATAACTGGAATTCTTCTGCCCTCTAGTGGTGAAAAGGTAAGATTACAATAAGACTAAACAGATGGTTCCAGCCTCTGCTGAACAGAAATGCTGCACATCAACACGTCTGTATTGTAGTTCACCTAGTTTGATGTCTTTTAGAGGAAAAGTGTGTTGTCAAACTTTCACCGGACCCCAAACTGAAGCCAACAGGAATAATTCATCAGGCACTTGTGACTGTCGCCTACCAGCTATGGGGCCTTTTGTTGGGGTTTGCAGGCTCTCTCTTAGTATGGATGGGTTCTCCAGCTTCCTCCCACACTCCACGTGTGTTAACTTTACTGGAGACCAATCGCATGCGTGGTTTTCTGTCTTGGTTTTCTGTGTGGCAGCGATGGACCTGCATCATCATCATCGGCTGGGAGAAGTCCCCCCCCCACCCCAACACGGAATAAGCAGGTAAAGAAAATGGTTGATCACTTCATTTCAACATCAAAAACAAAAAAAATTAACAAGAAATAAGTTCTCCTACTGCAGCAAAGCTTTACTGACTCAGATCAGAGAATCCAGGAAAACACTGATAGAAAATTGCATGTGTGACATGAGTCTGCGGTTTATCCAGTTAATCAGTAACACAGCCACCGCTGGTTTAGAAAAACAGCATCTGTAGCATCTATGATGACAGAATAATATTCAGAAAAATAAAATATATATCTGATTCTACCTCTTACATAATAAACTATGAGCTACAACACTTTTGGACAACATGGGACGTTGGAACATTGAGTGGTAGCATAAATACTGGTCACTGCTACAGTAAGAGAGATCTGTAAATAAAACGGCCTCTTAAGTCATGATACTATTACAAGGCTAGGCAAACAGAACTCGACTCAATGCCCAACTTAAAGATTACAATAGTTAAAAAATGGGCATCGATGTATTATACTTAATCAAATGCAAAGTGTTGCTTCAGGCCTCACTTTGTTCAGGTATAAAAAAGCGGATTTTAAGATATTTCACAGGTTGTCCTCCCCTGAACCATTTCAGACAGTGTGAGCTCAACACAAGCAGCCCTAAAAGTGACACACATCTGCACTGTGGCATTTCCAGCATTCTTAGATGAGAGATATTGAATACATTCAATTCTATAAGGCATGCAGGTAGCTACAACGTGTTCTGAGTAAAGTAAAACTGCCGTCTGAAAGAAAGAAGCTGATCGGCTTTCATTATTGGCATCCACACACCTGGTACAGAGGCTAAATGAGACATATGAAAACACAGCATGAGACACTTCAACTAAAATGTTAAACTTTAAAATAGAGTTTTACCAAAGACTGGTGAGCAGTTCCCTGTAACGCTGCTACCAAAAGGAGTGAATTCAACAGCTTCTACAATAGGAATCTTAAACAATGATCAACAAACGGTGAGAATGAAATCATAAAAACACATTTCTAAAACCAAAATGTTTTAGAAATGTGAGCCTAGTACTGCAAAGAGCATCCAGTGAAGGTTTCATAGCAGGTGGCTGCAACAAGCTACTTTCACAGTGACTAGTTCAAAAAAAAAAAAAGAGAGAAAAAAAGCTGCTGTAAGGAATCCGGTCGTTTCATCCCGTTTACAGTAAGACCCGTCATCACAGAGTCTCCTTCCAGTGTTTCAGCTGCTCTACACGTGAGACGCTCAGAGATCCAGTGGTGACAACAATATGGTGCACAGACAGAGGTACGGTACCCATCCAGCCACCTGCCGGTCAGAAGTCAGAGAATGTTACTTTTGTTCAGAGTCCCTGATGACCGAGTTCACTTCTGTGGGGGGTGCTGCTGTTCGATGGAGGCAGGATGAGTCGGAGGGTGGCAGGTGGTGGAAGAAAAACAGGAAATGTACACACTTAACTGTTAACGATGGAGATGTTTCAAGGTTTTAAAAAAATATCTGTGGTGTGCAGCAGCCGGCCTGTTTATCAGTGTGTGTGCAAAGAGAAAAAAGTGGAGCCGGGGAGCTGCCTCGTCCTTTCCTCGGAGCTGCGGTCAGAAAGGGGAGCGCTGTTCATCAAAGCTCAGTGGTCAGCAGACCTCTGGGTGTGGCTCCGTCCTCCGAGGCCGGCGGCTGACCCACAGTGCTGTGGCACGCACGAGAGGAGAGCATCAGCACAATTCTAATCACATACTAAGGTTTTAGCTAAAAAATAACATTAATGAATGCCTTATTCTGCCTTCTCTGGAGTGTCAGACAGCAGCAGGGCCAAACACAGGACACAATCTCCTCTTTGAAACGGACGGTGGCTTTAAACAGCCGGAGCCGTACCTGGTGGGGATGGCGCTACGTGTGTGAGCGAGGAGTGGCGGGGTTGAGGCGAGAGCTGCCCCCCCTTCAGCAGGAACAGCAGGGCTGACCTTAGAGGGGGGCTCTACGTCCAGCAGGCCGTTGGTAAACAAGCCGGGAGGCTGCATGAGAAGAGGAGGAGGAAGAAGGTTGAAGGTCAGCTTCTGTAGAACCACCGGAGCTAGCAGAAACAGAAACGCTCCACTGCACGTGCACAGCTTCCTGTAAACTCAACAGAAACCAGAAGGCCGTAAGCGGCCGGCCACAGAGCAGACGGAGCTGGACTCACGGCGGTGGAGGGGATGATCCAGCGCGGGGTGATGAGCGGCTTGTGCTGCTGCACCGGAGGAACCTGGAAAACAAGGCTCGTTCTCTTTAGACGCTCGGCTTTGTTGGGAGATGTGAGCCTGATAACACCGGGGCAAACATCAGTCTGTTATGAAGATTGTTGTTAGGAAAGCTGCGTTCTTTGGAAGAGATCTTATAAAGAGATCGCCCTCGCAAAGTAATAAGGGGGGGCCTACTGTCTGAGAGATCTGCTCTGAGGAAGGCCCACTATAACCAGGCCCTCTGCAGGTGTCAACTGCTGCTTGCCAAGAGAAAATAAAAACATTTAGTTATGTCATCCGTTTGTTTGGGGGGTGAGGGGTCTTAATGTAGTCTAAGAAAAGCAGCAGACCTGATTCCTATCACATTTACAGCAGCTTCCCAGGATGCATGTCATCACATAATGGTCCCGACTGAAACTGAATAGGAACACATCCTTCTTTCTTTTTTTTTTTAAGTGATGGAAGTTACATGTCCACTGAGAAACATGCTGGATTTTGAAAGCAACACGGCTGAGCTACAACATCATATAGATGCTCATTTTCATCTCAGGCTCATTAAACCAGGCTTTGGTGGGGTGAGTAATGCCCAGCTGGGGCCTGCTGACCCCACAGCTCCGCTTACTCAGGAGGTTTTTCACAGCAAATAAAGCCGCTTTATGACAGATGAATGAAGAAACTCCTGCAGTGCACGGTGTGCTGACGCTTACCAGAGGAGTGGGATCAGTGAAATCAATCAGGTTGTCAGTCAGCGGGCCGGTGCTTTGCAGGTCAAACTCCTCCGCTTTAACCTGCAGCATCAACACAGGAAACATCCCAACTACTGAGGAGGAGAACTACGTTTGCATATACACGTCATGATCTAAAATCAACATTCTTAAACGTTTAGGATGGATAAATGCATAATGATGACAAATAGTCCACTCAGAAAGTAATGTGGATGATTGTTCTCACACAGTGATTCTCCGAAGGGGCAGTGCATCAAATGACATAGGTTTAGAATGGCCTGATGAATAATGGACACAACATTATCTCTAAGTTCCCCACAATAGACAGTGGACATGTTTATTAGCTCAGTCGCTGCTGACCACTGGGCAGCAGTAAATCTTTTTACCTTGGGTGCCAAGTCTTCGCTGGCAGCAGGAATCTTGGGAGCAGATGGGAATAAATCCTCAGCTAACCTCTCAGCACTGAACAATAGACAGAGAGCAGAAATTAAGGTGTTTACAGGTTGTAGCACACTGATAATGTTATTGCAGGCCTCATACAAGTTCCTCATTCTGGAACAAAGCCATATTGGAGGGAAAACCAGCACGTGGCATGGTGGTTTTTCTCTCCAATTTTCTGTGAAAACAGCACATCCTAAATTCTCCACCCTGAGTGGAGAGTGGGAGCATTTCCTGCATCAATGAGCTCAGAGACATGCAGCATCTGTGAAACGCCTGGTCAAGTATGTATGAGGGTCTGGTTTTGGTGGCACTCTCTGCCAGCAGTATCCAGGCAGATATCCAGTCATGTGACTCAACAGCAGGCAGACACACACACACACACACACACACACACACAAACACAGATACGCACACAGCTGCAGTACTCAAAAAGACCAACAGATGTCAGCAGAGACAACTTTTGCTCCTGATGCCTGAAATCTCTACATTTCCTTTCCCATCACCTCAGTGTGATGCAGCTCCTCACACTGTCTAGAAAAGTGAACAATCACCTGTGAAATTTGACACCACTGGAAAAAAAACTGTTAAACCATCTGTTAACATCATATAACTACTGTAATCTTGGGAACTTGACAAAGGCAGAAATACATCAGATTTTCCTTCCTTAATATTTATGAGTCAATTTTAACAATGCCAAGTATTTTAAATAAAATATTGGGGTTTTATTGATAATTTGAGGTTGAGCCATTTCAAATAAAAGATAAAAAGAGGAAACAATCTGACATTAGTGTGTCCTGTCTGCCCTGTCCCTTTCTCTTTCACATTTACTGTGCATCAAGTACAAAGAGACAAATAAAAAAGCATAAATCTTTCAGAAAAGGTAGAGTGTAGATCTGTCAAAAACATTTGGAGTCGACCCACTGACCTGGTGGCTGCAGATGGGACCAGAGAGGCAGGTTTGACCAGCTCCAAGTCCGGGATGTCAGGACGGGCGCCAACAGAGAGAGACGAGTTACTGCCCATTCGGCCAGAGCGCCCCTTCAACCTGACACACAGAAAACACACACCGTTGTGTTTTCATACTGCATGAACCAGCAGGAAATATTCAATCCGTTTTAAGGACTCAGCATAGGACTAAACTGATCCTGCCGCACAATCTAATATGTACTGTACCATCCAGTTTCAATCTATACCGCAGTCCAGTAAAAAAATAAAAGCCACTTTTATCCCAGTTTTATTAGCACTCTTACATTTTCAGACAGACGTGATTAAGTAAATCCTGCTGCGTTTTCAAATAAGATACTGCAGTCATAAAAATGGAGAAGAAAAAAAATGAAGGCAGAGCCCCTTAAACAAAACCCTGTGTCTCCATTCAGGTTCCAATAGAAACAGATTATAGTTTGTCCTCACGTTTTCCTTCCAAAGAGAAAAGTGAGGGATGTAATAGTGTGAGCTAAGAGTGGTCATGAATATTCAAAATGTTAATAGGCTACCGGTAATGCTGTGAATGTCATTAAACAAAACAATGAATGACTCAGCTTGACTAAGGCGGTACACATAGGTCTAGCTTAAATTCCAAAATACAACTAGATCTTAATCCCAGCATGTGTCTTAACATTATCTCTAACAGTATGTTAGAGATAATGATAATGTCCCTTTTGTGTACTCACCTGGCAGAAGCCTCCTGCAAGTTACAGTTCTTATCTCCGATTAATACGACGTGTTCTTCGAAAGGCCCCTACAGAAGAAAACAAAGGCTAGATTATTAGCAGTACTATTAGAGGTGAGGCTTTTACTGTCATCTTTCCAATGTTCTGCTGGACAGCAGAGGGACAGGTCCAAAGATATAAAACATGCTTTTTTTCCTGCAAACAAAAGCAGTCATACTTTTTTGTGTCACGTTATCCTTTCATTCATGAGGAATAAAGTGTTCTTCCTCCCTTTTTCTTTCATTGCCACCCCCTTCGGCTGAATCTAACCTGCACTTTGACAGCAGCCTCAGCTTGAGCTTTCAGGATGTTGCTCTTCAGATCCTCCGGGGTGCGCAGTGGAGTGACCACTGGACTGCTGCCTGTACTGCTCAGGTCACATTTCTCTGTGATTTTCACCACATCTTCCTGTTGGAAAGGGGTCAAATATCAGGTGGGGCGCACCACCGAAGAGTTAGTAATCGTTATGGAAAGGGAAAAATGGATGCTCACCTGATTGTTCAGGACCATATTAATGTTGATGTTATTTCTTGGAGCGGGAAGGACCGGACTACCCTCCAACTCCAGCTGCTTCAGGCGAGCTGCTGCTTCTGTACAGATCCAAACAACTGTTTAAAACAGGACTGTGAAAAGCTAATTCTTACTGGGGTGTGCCGACTGTAATCTGCCATCTGTTGTTATCATCCATCATTGTAGCAGATATTTGTGAAAGGTTTATCCCCAATTGCAATGGCACATGAGTAAGAATGAACCTGGGAGGCTGACAGTGCCAGGGTCCAACTCACAGTTTGAATATCATTCAGTTATCTTTACTTTTAAACATGTAAAAAGGCTTCAGTTTAAAATATTTGTATTTTCTTACCGGACGATGTTGAAGATGTGGTTGTTCTAGCCTCACCTGTGAGACTAGGTGGAATATCTGTGGTAACACTTGTTGTTGGACAGGCACTGGATGATCCAGTCTCCTTTGTACTCGACACTGGGGGAGCAACAGGAGCTCTGAGGACATCATCAATGCATATCTCCATCAGATCAGCAACCACAGGCAAGCTGTAGGAACAAAAGACAAAAAAAGAAAAACGAAAAAAAGACACCAATAAGAAAATTAGCATGGATCAACATGGAGTTAACAGCAGCAACAGTATTCGAACAACCAAAATACAATTAACCTAGAAAGTATTTGGTATTACACAGCTTACCTTTGTCTTCCATAAGATATGAATGGATGGAAATGATGGTAAAACCAGCCCATTTATCAGAAGACATTTGAGAACCCCAATACTCCAAAAAAAGAAATTAGAATCATACCAATAAAAACAGACAAATACATTTAAATCAAATCTCTTTAAAAAGGGCAACAGCGCCACATAGAAGCATTCAAATGTAAGTTATAATTTTTGTGGAAAGTAATACCAGGTACAAAATCCTGGAATTAGAGGTGCCTGAAGCAAACTTTTGATACAAATCATTTTGTTAGAAGCTCTCCTAGCAGTCTGGAAATTACCTCATATTTCTATAGCCTGAAGATACAACAGTACTCAGGATGTCTGCTGAATATTACTATTTTATGCCGGAGGAGAACAGGAATTAAAGATCAACAAACAATAAGATGTGAAGAAAATGACAATGCTTTGTCCAGGGGCTTGCAAACCAAACATGTATAAACACTACTATTTGAGTGAAATAAGGAAGGATGTATCCAGCCCCTGTGAGGGAAATTAAGTAGGAAGTGGGGAGAAACAAAAACAGGAAAAAAAACAGATACATAAACATACCGTGGACTACTGCTAAACAAACATATGGTGGTGCCCAGTCTCCATGCAGGTGGCTGACACTGTCATTATGTTGTACAATGGCTACTGAACACAAAAGGATGACAGTAAATATCACTGTGCACCAAAAGTAGGAGGCCAACATACATAATGTAAATCCTTCACTGAATCAAAGGGATACAAAAGAAAAGGGCACAATAAATATACTGCAGTGTCATTCCTCTTTTTATTCTCTAAAATGATTTAAAATCATTTTAAAGGATACACTTCATTTGGTCAGGCATCTATAATTTCAAACTACGATATGATTTCTAATTACCTTTCAGGCGAAATCAACAGTAATACAATAAAGTAGCTCAAATGATTTATATTATATATTCTTCAACAAAATCTTCACTTCTCTCAGGCTCCTTCTCTACAGTAGTGTTGACAAGATAAAAATAAACTAATGTAACCGCTTGTCATGTTGATTCAGTGTTGAACATCTTTAAGCATGGTGACAGAAGCTGGGGAGAAGGTAGATTACTGTACCTACAGTGTATTAGACACGTTTGAAAGTGAAGGCAAGACAAGCTGCCAGCATCAAGAAGAAAGGTCAGCAGGATTAAAAAAGGAAGAAATTAGAAATAAAAAAAACAAAAATCAACGTAGAAACAATTCGATTTGGAAGTTTTGGAAAGCACTTTAGGTAGAAGGAATGTTGCTCTGCAAACCTGTGCACAGATGAGAGATATCAGCCCTCTTATCCAACTCCCTTTTAAAACACAGCAGCAGATCAATTAAATGTCGAAACAAGAGCAAAATACAAAATAAATCAAGTCATAAAGGACAATATTATAGCTTAATTAATATGACACTAGTGTTTTAAAGATTACAATCAGACAAAGACAAGAGTTTTCCTCTGAGGGGAAAAAGGAGCAGGAAAAGGGGCTTGCCCAAATCCTCAAGAAACTATGTGACCTTCAGTATTATTCCCTTGAAGAGTGAGAGTAGAACTGAATTCCTAAGCCCCACAACACTGATACCATCTAACATCAGCCAGCCAGCTCGATGTTTGTTTGGGAAAGAAGGTCAAGGAAGTGAAGAGCATGGAAGCAAAGAAAAGAGGAGGAAAAATGGGACAGTAACATCAGACTTCTGCTGATGGAACATGGAAAGAGGAAAGGCATTAGAAGCAGATCTGGAAGAAGACAAGACGAGATGGTAAAAAAAAAAAAGAAAAAAAAAAAGTCCATCTTTTGTTGGTTTGATGAATTAGCACTCTGAGCAGAAAGCTTTATCCAGTAAGTCACGACATGTTAGTTCTTCCATGCTGTACGGGCTCAGCCACAAGTGCAAGAAACTTGTCAAAGACAAGTCCCCTCGACGCCGACACTCCCATTTCAAACTCATGTCAGTACAGACGGTTGGTAGGATGTGTCCAACTCCTGCAGACAGCTGTGATGCAATGGACGCGGGGTGGATGGAGGGGGAAGGAGACCTGAGGAGAACAGGGTGGATGCAATGGTGAAGGACAAGGAGGAGGGACAAACAGCAGGTGGAAGCATAAAGTGGGGGGGAGTGAGTGGGGAGGCTAATTAAAAGCAGCACTGGTAGGGGGGGTGGAAAAAAAAAAAGGGAAATAAAAACAGAAGGGGAACAGTTTAACATAAAATACAGGGACGGAAGAAGTGAGCAGGAGGCTGCAGACAAAAATCTAGAAAGCAGGAAGTAGATGCAAGCGAATAAGAATACTATGACCCCTCATGAGGAACAAAGTTTCAGATCTTCTGCGTCTGCGGTTAACGGAACCCTTTTATTTGGCCCCTACTGAACCCTCACAAAACAAGTCATTGTAGTGGATATAAACAAAAAGAATAAAAGCACCAGGTTATCAGCGTGGGCACCCAGCTTCTGGTTCATGTGTGAACCAGTGTGTATTTCCACACATGTCACAGGGACACTTGAGTTAAGTGGAGTAGGCTGGATGTGTCTGAGTGCCTAGGACCTGACCTTCCCATTCTATGGCTTATGCCAAGTCCTGTTTACAGTGCCTATAAGTTCAGCGCTTTAGGCAAAAGGCTTTTATTCACGACAGAATTAGAGCTTAGGTGGGAACACAGTGCTCAGTTCCCGCCTACCAGTTCACAACTAAATGAAGAGCTGATTAACCGTTACTTTTAACATTTCTGCTATAGGTTCTCACTGTCATCTGAGAATAATTCTGATCTAAAATTCTGATTCTAAAGGCACTGATGTGAAACTTATCCACTAGCTTCTGATAATGTATCTGTGAAGTATCTTACAGGGATGAACAAGGGTCAGAGAGAAGGCAGCAGTTAGAGGCTAAGCGCTATATGATAGCAATAACAGGCAGACAGAGAGCTTTAAAGCAGATTGGTGCATAGACAGGACAAAAACTACAGACGTTCTTTGTGCAGAACATGACACTTATGTGACCATTAACGATTTTGGTTTTATTCAGCTAAATTTTTAAATGATACTTGTGTAATTTGTAGCCGTTAACGTTAGATTTCCTTGAGAAATGTTTGATGCTACTTCACAATTGTAAAAAGAAAAGCAAATCTTCCAATTGAATTAAACTCAACATCATTGTCAACATTTAAGTGTCATATTACAGATTTAAATGACTGCAAAAAGCTCTTTTCTGTTGCTCATAGTCTCAAGAGACCAGTTGATGCCTGCATTTTGCATGCACATTCATTAAATTATATTCAAAAGCAAAACAGGTAGACAAGAGGAAAAAAGGACAAGAATTAGTTATCTAACAAAGTCACTTTGAAAGCATCCTCCTCACCTTCCCCAGATCAATTTTGAACAATTGCTATTTATTCAGATTTCTGAGGAGAAAAAGATCTCCAAGATTGTCAGCAATTTCCCCTCAAATGGATCACACTATAACTCAGAGAAAATAAGAACTGGAGCTCATCAATGCTCATTCTTTTCTCATCTGAGACGGGTGAGCTCATGACTCACTTTCTTTATTGAAAAAATGTGTTTGTTAGACTTTAAAAGTAGTCCAGGAACTGTTCTATGTGGGAGTTGTTATCCCTTGATTATTTAATATGAAAAGTAGTATTTCACATCTGCCTGACAGCAGAAGGAAGATGGAGGACTTAAAATAAAATATAGATAAATATATAAATTTCTAAATCCTCCTACAGACAAAAAAGAAGAAAACATTAAGCTGTGCTGGAAAAACATAAATGTTGAGTTTACAAAATTTGGATAGAAGAATGGTCAGAACATGGACCTTCATTAAGTCAGATTGAAGAATCTTCTTTGCCAACAGGCTGGCATCATTTATATGTTGAAAATGTGCTCAAAGGAAAGCATTTCCTTTCATTTTCATCATAGAAAGTATTCTCATTTTATCATACATTGAATGTAGAAGCTTAAAGGGGAGCAGGTGAACAGGATGCACTGCAGGATATTAGATGAATGGACCAAGCACCAAAGTCCTGAACAGAACAGTTTCAAAGCTGAGAAACGCATCACCGACTCATGCCACCAAATCAAGATCCCCACACAGCATCTCATCTCAAGGCATTGCTAACGGTATAAATTAGGTTGGCATTTCATGCTGATCAAAGGTGGACAAAAAGTGCATCACACCGTCTGCCCACTGAAAGCAAATCTTTTCCCAAAGCCAGATCATGACACCCGCCACTGCACAGCGACTGATTGGTTAAAGCCAAGGCCGTTTTGGTGTTTGTTGTACCTACCCAGCCTGCCTCCAGACAAGAGCAGTTTATCCTCAGTACATAACACTGGAACAAACAGGGGAACGTCAATGAGGCATCATAAAAATACAGAATCGGGAAAATGACCCACCTCAAAAAATAGATATTTGTACACATTATAGAAAGCAACTCAGAAGAAATTAAACGAGTGCATTTGGAAAGTAAAGAAAACGTATGTAGAAATAGCAATATTAAGAAGACCTGGGCAAAAAGCAAGTTTTCACATGATCTACTTAATAAAAAGACTCATTCTGTCTTTGAATGGCCAACTGCATGTCTGACTTTTTTTTTTTTTACCAGCTGCCCGTCTTTGTTCAATATCAATTTGGCCCTTGGGTGAGTACTTTGTTGCTATATTTTACATGGGTGAAAACAACTATGATCCCAGGCCAACCTGTAAATCAGGCCTAACATATATGATACTGTTACAGTTACAGATGAAAAAATGCAAAGATATGGACGATCTTCCCGCTTCTGACCTCTCGTCTTTCATCCTCTTCCTGATCACAACAAGACTGGGTCAGCAGATAAGCCATTCTTGGCAACTCACATGGCATGAGACCATGAACACACAGCTAACTATTCACATTATTTTAGCCCCCAGCCGGAATCATTTGTCCTAAACTTCTAAACTAGTTTTGTTTTCTTCATTCTCTGACGGCACTGAGCAGCGTTGAGCCACCACCTGATGTTACTGAATCCTGTTGTATACACATGTGTTCAAACAATAGTGGCTTTAAGGAGTAAAGACCTCATTTTATTCAGGTACCAACCTTCTTTTTTCTCCTCCAGGACTTCTGGGTAGCGCCTCAATTTCCACTGGTCCAAAGGCAGAAGCTGCTACTGGGCTGACCACAGGTGTGCTGGACCAGACACCCCGAGAGGAAGAAACCTGAAGGAGAGCAAGGGGAGACATTTTATCAAATCTGGAAAATTAAGAAGACCAGAAAAGACCTTATTGGAAAGTTAAATAGTTTGAACTGAAAAAAGTAACAGAATAAATAAGTTCAATGCGAGGCAAAAAAAAAAAAAGTATGGAAGTTCTCCTACTATAAAAGATGAGGTCTGTAATTCTCATCACAGGTACACTTCAACTTTTAGAGGCAAAATGAGAAGAATAAAATCCAGGTGATGACATTCAAGGAATGGGGTAGTTTTTCTTCAAAGGGGACAGGACAAATGATCTTAGTTAAGGGAAGAATGAACATGTATTGTGAAGTTTTAGGCCAAAACCTCTGCCATGATGAGAATTGCAGACCTCGTACATCTTTAAGAGAACTTGCACAAATGGAGTCTGACACTTGTACATTGAACTTCTAATGTGAGAGCACAGTCCTTACCCTGTCATGTTTGCTGGAGCTGACGCCATTACCTGAAGAAAGAAGTCTGAAAAAAAAAAGAAGTTCAAAGTACTATACATAGATTTACACAATAAATCATATTTAGGTTTCAGTGGCATTGCAATATCCTGGAATGCTTCAATAGTCCAGGTGGATCTGTGTTCAACATGTCTTGGAGAATTCTGCCAGCTGTGAAAAACATTTAGCCAACACACATTTAGACACTGTGTTTCTAGAATAGAACTCAATTATTATAACTTTACTTTTTAAGGGTAGAAACATGTCATTGTTCCAATCTAGACTGAACATGACTTAACACAGTCGCTGTTTAAGGAACACACCAACTCAAACCCTAATGTCAGAACAGATAAAAGTCTCTGAAATACACTTCTATTAAACATCAGTGTACTTACTCCTGGGGATGGAATGGCCCTGTAAAACAAAGAAAATGTACAGTAAGTGCTGTGCTGTTTGGTTTACATGGCTACAATTTCCATTTTTGCTAATCAAACAATGATGGATAAAGCGGAACAGTGATTTTAAACAAAAAAAATTACAAAACAAAAGTGAATATAGCTCAGTTCTCTTCGGGGTTCTTTTCGTAGTTGGTTTAACTGGACATCTAAAAGGAATCAATATGTGTGTGGTTTTTGTTATTACCTCTGTTCTGCATGGTTCTTCTGGAGTAACGGCGACTGGGTCTCCTCTCAAAGGAGGCTGACCGCCTTGCTTTATTGGCCTTGGTTGTCTGATACTCTGTTTTTCCACTGGTGAAAAAAGACAAAAAAAACAACACATTTTTTAAAAAGTTTTGAGTGACTAAAAAACTAACATAAGAGTGACCTTTGCTGAACTCTGCACCATATAGATAATAACCTCCTAACCACAGAGTCCTGCAACCTCTGTGTTAGATCAACATTGCCACCAATGCTTATCCATCTGGGAAACGTTTAAACACACAGACGGGAGCAAACCGACTACTGCAGTGTGTTGTACTAACGGCCTGTTTCTGTATCTGTGTGTACACATTCAGATTAAGAATGGTCCCTCACATTAGAATCATTTTGTTGATACACTCAAATAAACAGCACCGAGGCGAAAACAAGTGTGGCTCTAAATTAGACTCAGAACTCACCCATCCCCCAAAGTTTACTTTTTCACACATTCTTCACACCAACACTTTTCTGTCCCTGGATGTCATCAGCAGAGCAAACTTAAATTGAACGTGACAACTTAAGCGCCCACTTTAAACAATAGTTTGAAATTTCAGATAGACTTACTAACACTGAACCTATTTAATTTAAGACAGTTGAATAGAAAAGTTAGTATACTGAGCCAGCGGGCCACAGGGGGAGACACACATCTCCAGAGCCTGTGTACTGTTCTACATGCGTCACCTGTATCTGAAGCGGGATCCCATGCGAATAAATCCAGAGCGCGCAGCGCCCTTCTCCACTGGCCCCCGCAGCCTGAAGAAAGCGTGGTGTTCCACGGCACACTTCCAGAGATGTTTACACGCTTTTGGGTGGTCCATCCTGAAGACAAAGGTGTGCTCCTGTTCTTTTCCCTGAAAAGGGTTAACACTGTTTAGAGTTGAATAGCATGGAAAAAGATGTTTGAGCTTGAGATTTGAGCTTTTTCTTTTGGAATTGAACATACAAATGTGGTGCCTTGAATAAAGACACAAAATGCTGTTGAACCTACAGTGGCCAATCTGGTCGTATCATCACTGATAAAGAGTTTCTTAAAATCCTAAAACTGTTACGAGTCCCAAAACTTTGAGTTCACGTTGAATTGTATGTGTCCAAAAGCTCCTTAAGGTAGAAACATCACATGTTTCACTGAGTTTCACTGTACATTTTCCACAATATTTAAATGATCTTTAGTTGTTCATTCACAATTTCCCCCTTGAAGTGTTTAATAATGCATTAAACAGTTTTCCCTAATTCTGTGGTGGTTTTGTTTGCTTGATACAGTCCAAGAATTCAACCTTTGTGAAAGAGAAACACCTGTAACCCAAAATCTATCTTCTAAAATGGTTAAACAACTTGGTGCTGAAGACGTTACACAGTGTAAGGCCCTTATTTCATTTGCTTTGTTAAATCCAGGTGACAATTTAGCCTCAAATACTACTCAGCTCTTTAGCATAAAAAACAGACATCAACTAAGTTCTCGTCAGTCAGTAAGTCCAAAAATCAATGAATCTGCGGTGGTCGCCCTGGTGCGAGTGTGTGTAGGAGAACAGTGCATACCAGAAATACCAGAGGGGGCAGGACTCAAAGGCCCATGTGAGGGAGATATACAGGCTTTCCTTCGCTCTCGTTTTACAGTAGCAAACCTCATTTCATTCGGAAAATGTTCCACCATTTTTCTACAACATTGGTGGAGGAATAGTCCTTTAATGAAAGGTGGATTTTCAAAACAGCAAATGACTGAATGAATTTAAAAAACGCACATAAAAAGAGCCTTTGTATCTTCAATGCAATCTGCATGTTCATGGAAGTTAGTAGTGTATAACATTTTAACTAAATATGATCAAAACTAGGATGGACTGGCAACCTCTCCAAAGTTTACCCGCATTTGCCCGAGGACAGCTGGGATAGACTCAAGCTTTAAGTGAGTCTAGACTATGGATGGATGGCTAGAAATCATATGATCAAAATGTTATCCATACCCCCATGCTTAATTATCAATATGTATCCAGGAAAGCATGCATGTATAAGAGAGTGTACATGTTGATCTTCTCAAATGGCAGGAAGACACCAGACACTCCTCCATGGCTGTTCTCATTACAAAGGAATGCATTGGTTATAAAGTACCCTAGAGTTTTGACTGACGATCGGCCGTCTTTTAGAGCTCATATAGAGAACCTGATAAAATTTTTTTAATTGAAAATAGGTTTATTTTCGCCATAGGGAATGCTTTACTTTGATTCCTTCCTGTACTGGATTTTGGTGACCTTTATATGAATGTTCCTGCGATGTGTCTGGTCTCTGGACTCTGTGTACCCCGATGCCCTGAGATTTGTTACAAGTTGCAAAGCTTATTCATTCACCACTATCATTCACCACCGTTTTGTATTTATGTACTTACATATTTAATCTGTGGGATTATTTTTTTTAATTCTATGTATACAGCATATTTTAAAAGACGAGGAAAGACAGAAAAAAGAGGTTTTAATGTTTTAGGATTACTGCCAAGACACTGTTTTTATCTTCCTGAGTTATTTGTAACACAATGGCAATTGATTATATGCAATACATCTATAAAAACAAAATTCTGAATGCTTTACATCAAATTGAAGATATTGATGAAGCATAAAACCTTAAATTAATCTATCTGATTTGGAAACTAAAAAAAAGACAAAGTATCTTACAGTACAGTCAGGGCAAGTTTGGGAGCCACTGATAGACTTTAATCAGATGTGATGCTCATGGCTGTAGTGACTGGAAGTTCTGCATTTTCAACACGTTTTCTGTTTTCAGAAAAGCGCTTCTCACCTGTTCATCGTCTTCCACTACAACAAGAGTCAGTTTGCTCTTCTTGAAATCCAAACGAGTTATCTTGGGCCTGCAATACGAAAATAGTTAAACCCGCACGTACACAAAGTTGAAGGCATGATTAAAACGTTTGATTTGATAAAGAAATGTAAATGAATGAATATGATATGAATATGAGCACATTTTAGAAACTCACTCACTCACTAACTCAGTGATAAACATACCAGAAAAAAAGTCCGATCTTAGTTTGGCCTTCAAACACCAGGACTCCAGTGGGTGTCAAACCCAGACTGTACTCATTACCATCCCTTGCCTGGAGCGCAGAGATAGAAGGGCAGGAAAAGAGATGAAACGAGACAAACTTAAAAAGATGCCATAATGTTTATGTTCAGATGCACATTCCTTTCATTTCCTGTTCATCTTCAAAAACCATTTCAAATCCAAGGAATGCTGTAAATGTGAAGCTCCACATATGGTTAACTGGACTCATAGAAGACTAGCAGTACCTATTATAATGAACAAGCAGGTTTATTATTTACCTTCACCATGTGCATGTCCACCCCGTACATTTCCAGCCACTTAGCTTTATTCAGGTAGTTTATCTCAGCTTGTGCGGGTGTCTGACCTCTGAAAAGAGGAAAATAAATATCAAAGGAATAACTCCACAAATATTGGGGCAAAACATGTCATGTGAATGACATGAGGACCTTCTTATTGACATTGTGTTTAGAAACATGAATCTTACCTGCACTCCTTCCAGGCGTTGTATATAGCGAGCTCCACATCCTCTGTCTGGTCAGGGATGAACCGAAATTCTGACACCAGGTCCAGATTGTGTTCTGATGGATCGCAATCTCCCAACTCAGCTGAAAACACAAAGTCACTGTTAACAACGGCAGATTTGTGGGAGTTTGATTAAAAAACATCAATAAATAAATAAACTCTCGATCCTCATATGTGGACTCCCATTAGTCTACTGAGTTTGGCTAAGGCTCAGTTTAAGAGGTTTTCGATGAGAAGTTAGGTCCTAAACTTTGCTTGCAAAACAAGCAGAGACAACAATGACATCACTACCACCACCATTTAGTGGCTACATGTGATTTACAACGTCAGTGATCATAAAAAAATTCATCAGACTTGTGTAGCTTTCTTTTTAAAATAGGCAGGGTTCTCATGAAGGAGTTGCCTTTCCAGTCACGTGACTACCTGGCCAATCAGTGGCCAACAGCTAAAACTAACAGTTAGGAGGCAGCAGCCCCAAATGGTAATGCAAAAAAAAAAACTGAGTAGCGTCAATTAGCAATGAGTAGGTATGTGTTTAAAAGCCCAGAAAGTAATACTCCAGACTTATTCTGAGATAAAACTTTTGGAAGAGAAAAGTGCCCAAAACACAGCACATCAATTATTGTGTGGTGATCCCTTGAAAAGGACAAAATGTCACAGAATTTACCAAATTCAAAAGGAGAAATAAATCATCTTCTAAAGACTGGAATGAGGGCAGTGCAGTGAAAACATGAGCAGTTAGGAGACTTGGATATGATCACACTGGAAAACACCCCCATTTTATGATACTGACAAGTCCCAGTAAATAGATAATCTGGTATATTACAGCATTTTCTCCATAAAAGTAACCAGTTTAATAGCTTGTTAACAACTAAACGAATCATAAATACATGAACAAATCTATATATTAATTTAATGCTTTATACGGTAACTGATCAGATTAGGTCTAAGTCGGTGCTGCTGCGAGTGAAGGAATCAATTAATAAATCAAGATATCCAAAAGGTTACCATTGTGTGGAGTTACTTTTCTGGAGCTAAACCCCATTTCCTCCAACTAATTCAATGAAGCTAATGACTAAAGATGTGGAGAGAAGAGACTCGGCCTTACAAGCATGGCAGAGTCAGTATTATGGTGCAGCCATAGAGACTAAATGAGTGGCCTTTATTTCCAACTGTGTATAAAGCTCCCCTTTTATGAGCCACGATACTGGTCAACAACGTGCCAAATTATTACAGGAAGTAATTAAATGATGGTTTTCACTTGCAGAAAAATAACCTGGAAACAGAAGTATCTACAAACGAGAAGCAGCCGAAAACAGCAGGTCAGGCCCGGATTCGAATGGAGGACACCAAGCATTTTGTCAACACTGAGTACTTAATGTAGGAAAACCTTTTAACATAACAATTAAGGATTACTAATAGTACATGCATGCAAATATGTAGTTTGGGAAAATAGTTGATACTCCTGTGCAAATGAATTAATGCAAATTGTTAAACCTGCAGAATTAAAACAACAATCGCTCATTCGAATCTTGACTGCTGGAGTACAAAGGAAGAATCCAGAAAAATACCACTGTCCCAATACTTATGACTGACTGCAATGCTGGAGGGGGAGAGAGAGAGTGAGATCAACTGAGGGAAAAGAGAAAACAGAGAGGGTGCTGGATTAGGGGGCCTCCGAGGAGGACAGAGCCCTAATGAGCTGGCACTAACCCCACACTGTGTGTGTGTGTGTGTGTGTGTGTGTGTGTGTGTGTGTGTGTGTGT